TCTCAGCTGGCGGAAGCTTCCGGAATTATCTTAGTACCCCACTGCTTAGTGAAGTACTGGGGATCACTAGAAAATGGAGGAGGAGCAGCGATAAGAATAAAATTTTTAAACATGTCTCGTAATTAAGTGGGTGTGTCATTGTCCCATTAACTCACACGTGCATTAGGCAGGCTGCTATTGCAGTTCCATCAGAAATGTCACTAATATCCATAGAATAACCTCCACCAGCTCCTGATAGTACCAGACAATTCTCTAACTACGAATAAAAGGTAATATTAATTGATAAATATTAATATCAAACAGCACAAAAAGAGCTTGAATTAATTACTGTGTCTTTGTACTAGTTAAAACTTTAGATTATGATATATAGAGGGTCACTTACCCAGGTAACAAGGGCGGGATATGGTTCAAAATCTCTAGAATCCTCTGACGCCATTTTGAAAAAGGAAATAATAACAAGGCCACGCCCATGTCATTAGCCCAATTGACCACGCCCACAACAAAATTCTCGCTTCGAGTAAACAATGAAGAAGCTGTTGCTGTCTTTCGCTGTTCTGCTGCTGCCTCTGGTCGTTTCTCCTTATCCGATCACTAACTGTACGTCTCAGTGTTGGGCCAGCAATGAATTGGCTAACTTCATGAGAGACAAGGCCCCAGCCCAGCAAAGAAAAGTATCAAAATGTCAACTTGATTAGCATCAGACCTCTTCTCTGTCTCTTTTCTTTTTGTACAGTTATTGTGTGCTTGTAGCTTTGGCTGTAGATTAGATAAACTGAACCGTCTCATGTTCAACTCTGAGCAATGCAAAACTTGTAAGAACAGCAATAATAATGAAATACACTAGATCTAGATCAACATGTAATTATTGCAGACTTGTAATGATAAAGTTTTATTCAAATTATTGCATTGTCAGTGTCCACCTGTCACTGTTAGTCTTCTCCCGCCATTATGTACTGTCATGTACTGTTAGTAGCTAATGGTTTACTACATAATCTATTGAATGATTAATCAATTGTGAATCGTTTGTATATTGTTCTCCTACAGCTTGTGACGAGGCGTACGATGGTCATAATGAACAGATGGCATGTTCCACTGGCTGCAATTTGAATAAAGAAGAGGACATTTATAATAATGAAGTACATATACTTACATGTAGAGAGAGAGAGAGAGAGAGAGAGAGAGAGAGGGAGGGAGAGAGAGAGGGAGAGAGAGAGGGGGAGAGAGAGAGAGAGAGAGAGAGAGGGACAGAAGAAAGGCTGTCCTTATTTATTTTTACTTCTTTTTTCATAGACTGTCATTTCATTCATGACAGTTATCTATCAAACTGCTGTGCTATCTTTTGATTCATTTTGGAGTAACTCAGCAACTACTGTAAGAGAGAAAATGAGTGTATGTTTAATTCTTGTTTCCTCATAGAATCAAGGAGGACAAGTTGTCTATTTTGTGTTCCATAATGAACAAGAAACAACATCAGGTAAGTGTTGATCCAATATCCTTTGCTGAAAGAACAACCATTGTAGTTTTCTTTGACATGCTGTAACTTTAAGACTGAATTGCATTCTATAGAACCGCCATTACATGAAACACTTGAATGGGATGCACTGATTTATTGATAGATGAAGTACATGTGTACTATACATTTTAGTGAAGACATTAAAAATTAAGATAACTTTATTACGTTACCGTGATAATAGCGCTTTACTTTTGAGGAGCAAAACTTTCAAATTAGCATGTAATTTAAGCTCTACATGATAATATGCAATCCGCTACCATTACTAAAGATTATAAATGAATTCTCTTCACAGATCAATCCACCAGTTCCAGTACTACTACAACCACAGTAGCTGCCACTGAGGATCCAAAGGCGGTTGAGTTGTGGCTGATTATCCAAATACTCTGTGCCATATTACTCATACTCTCTCTTCTCTGCTGCTGCTGCATGTGTTCTGGAGAGGCTCGTAACTATAGCAACAAGAAATCCCGCTCACGAGAAATAACAAATGTACGTAACATATCGAAATTTATCCATCAAAAATAATTTTTTAATTTTTAGTGTCAGGAACATAAAGAGTGCAAGTACAAGTTATTGAATCCTCCACCTGTTACTGCCTACACACTACCGGTCAAAGTGGGAGGACCCCTGTAATTATGACGCTAATTAGAATTTGGGACTATGTTGTGCCATTAATTTTAATCAATTTAAATCTTTTGTTACATCACGAGAGGATTAATAATCATTAATAAACCCAGACCACACCCACTAGTTTATATCAACGAAGTCTTCTAGCCTCTCTCTCACATTCCAACAGACAGAGGACGTCTCCTTCCCTCACTGGACCTTTAACATTTCGTATTATAGACCTGCTGTCGTCCAGGAATTCGACTCTGACCTACTGATGTTAAAATTATCACAAAATAAGCTACTGCCATACTTGAGTACACTGGCCTTGTGACCCTGTTCTTCCCAATAGCTTTATGACCTAATATAGCATAAAAGAAGGTTTGAACGAGCTTATTAAGATGACTTTTACTTTTCCATATCTTGGTTTCTGATCCATTATTATTTTGAGGTGAAAAATGAAAGAAAGAAGCACGTGCAGGGTATCTGTTTTGCGCATGCGCGCCCAGTTCCAGCTCAGTTTATAAATTTATTAATATTAATAAACTTAAAATACTAACTAGAATTCTGCATAGCAAAAAGCAGTTTTATCAGCTAGCAATTCTGCAATAATAATAGCTTGGTTAGTGATTTAGCAGGAGAGGTTCTTAACATCAGAGAACCCTAGCGTCCCAGCACCTGTAGAGTCCAATGTACAATCAATACTAGTCACTTTACCATCACTAGTATTTATTGTCGACATTGATACCACTTCTCCAGGAGCTCCTCTCATTTTAACAACGTAAGTACCAGCGAAGAGGATTACAGTGAGAACCCTCTGCTCTGATATTGGTACTACCTTATCCAACTCTCCTAGCAATGCTCCACCACTGCCTGGTAGTACAGGTGCTATGTACCAGTGTTGGAAATCTGATACTTGACAGGATTTTATTGTCAGCTTTGCACTTGAATCTGATATTTTAACGTAATTTGATGCAACAGTTTTGTCAAGGTCATATTGAACTGCTACTGATTCCGGGAAGGAGGTCTTAGGCTTGGTACCGTCACGAGCAGCTGGTAATTCTGTAAGCGACATTTGATAATCGCTTTTAAGCTCAGCCCCCAGTATGTAATACCATGTGTAACCAGAAACCTGTAAAGGTAGAGATTATAAAATTATATCATCAATAAACGGATGTAGTTATGATAATAGTGCAGGTAGTACTTTAGTCAAATTTTTGGACAACTTGGAAAAATTTATACAAACCTTCACAACTGACATATAGAATTAAATTAAACTTACTTCAGTATAAGTTGCAGTGAGATATCCATCAGGGCCTCCTTTACCAAGTGCTCGCTGAAGGAACGTAGAGTCGAGAGACATAGCAGGTCTTGATGGCTTCAGAATGAGACCATCACTCATACAAGTAGCAAGGATGAGCTGCTTGTCTGCTCCTCCTACAGTATCACTGGGACCCACTGGGCCAGTACTCAACACTGATACATAGGTCTGCAGTTTAGGACTAGGTTCTGCTGTAGTGAACTTGCAGTCTGATTGAGTAGAGGTTGTGTGATAGTTATCTTTAAATGGAGCTATACCAAGAGAGTGAAGGAGAATGCTGGAATCACCAATCTTCCATTGGCCGTTACCAGGATGATAATCATCACTAGCTCTAGTCTGTGTCACAACTGGTATCATCACTGCCTGCATTACGTGCCTAGGCCAGGCCATACAATACTGTATGGTGAGTCCTTCTTCTTTAGCTGCTTCTCCCATCTGTCCTAGCCATGTTTGACCAAGATTAAGATCAATCTGCAGCTCTTTAAGTCCTCCTGATTCAGTCAAAAGCCAGTCTTGTTCGTAAGTCCAAAGGTTCCACTGATCTCTTGACGTTGAAAGAAGGTACTGCCAGAAAGTAGGATCATCAGGTAGAGCTATTTTACCTGAATCAATGATAAAGTTAAAAGATCCTCCATTTTGCTTGGCATAATCAGTATCGACTGAGAAGAACCTGTTGTGAGCAACAATTGGCCAACCAGTTTTTTGTGATACATACTCGATTCCATCAGGGAAAATGGAACTCATGCAAGTCCAGTTTTTGACGCCATCATGATCACCTTTGTAGTACCACCATGAGTCTATTTGAAGATACCTAAAAGGTAGGCCATTATCATCAGCATCCTTCTTCACTGCAAGCATAGCTTCTTCATAGTTCGAGTATTTCCCAGTGTAGTAGTAATAGCAGGCTCCATTATCAGTGTAATATCCAAGATAGTTTATTGAAAAATCATTGCGACGATACTTATCATCTTTCTTGTATCTTCCACGTAAGAGTCTACCCCATTTATCCATAGTGTCAGTGAGGTTCTGACCAGCGACCATTAGTGTCTCCATTGCATATCCTTTAGGGACTGTATCCACTGATCCTAGTATACCAGTAGCAAATACAGGGACTTGGTATCCGTCTGGTTTCCATACCTCGTGGTGTGAAGACATGAATGTATTCTGTGGTGATATTACAACTGTGTTCTCCATATCAGAATCAAATATTACAAGAGGCAATCCACCCTCCATTCCTTTATAGATCTCCTTCAGCGAGGAATCAAAAGGACCAGTAGGGGTACTTCCTATCTGTCCTCCGCCCCAAGATGCATACCCACGGGTTAGTCCTAAATCCTCAACTTTGAAAGCCGGCCATCTTGAGATAACATCATCATTATTACCAGTACTTGTGGAATTACCTCCATCATCCCACTGCTGTCCAAAGATAACAGCAGGTACTTCAGTAAAGACAACAGTGTAAGTGGTGAACTGCAGCTTACCATCACTCGTCTTCCAGGTGTAAAAGTATATATTCATCGGTCCCCAGTCCAGTCTGCCGGTTGAGTTGCTTGTATTAACTAAAGTGAGTGTCTTGTCTGCTGTAGAGTACCATTGGCTGTTAGCTCTGAACCAAGCATCTGCATTGTTGAACCAGAGCTTCCCGGAGAGGTAGAGTTGGAACCCGCCATCAGTGGTTGTTTTGACTTCAAAGTTTTCCACAGGATCACACAGTCCGAGCTGGAGCAGGAAAGAAAAGATAACAAAAACCTCCAACTTCATTTTTGCTGAGCTGAAGGTCAAGTAGTGTGAAATTTATAATGATATTCATTGCTTGATAATTGGCATGAAAAAGGCCAACGCCCATACCACTCCTTATAAAATGCAAAGAGGACTTAGGAGAGCTGTGAGAAGAGTCCTACTGCTCAAGAAGACATCAAGGCTGGACTACGAGAGGAGAAGATACGCCCAATACAATGAAGAGAGTTTTAAAGCTAAAGTGAGGAGGAGATTGCAATTAATGGAGAATAATATCATTCCATTTTTAAAATGATATATATTTTTACATGTTTTATGCATTAATTTTTACAATTATCATGTATTTTAAACACACAGCTGCTTTCAATTGGTTCAGATTATGATGGCCTCCTACTAAGGCATGAGCAACATGAAGACAGTGTTAACGAAGTACATCAATCACTGCTGTAAGTGGAAAACTACTACCTGATAGTATTCATTCATTAACATTCATTTTAAAGTTGCTCCAAAATCGGGTCAAAGTCCCTGTACTATAGTACATGGTCTTGGGCCAAATTTTGCCAAAAATGAAAAGTAGAGAATTCTCCATTTTTATTACATTTCCTGATACATATACATGTTCTTATGTTGTGTAGGAAGTTTGAGCTGATTCCAATCAAATTTGGATTTTTTACGAATTTTTAAAGTTGCTCCAAAATTGGACAAAAGTCCCTGTACTATAGTACATGGTCTCGGGCCAAATTTTGCCAAAAATGAAAAGTAGAGAATTCTCCATTTTTATTACATTTCCTGATACATATACATGTACTTATGTTGCGTAGAAAGTTTAAGCTGATTCCGATCAAATTTGGATTTTTTACGAATTTTTTAAAGTTTCTCCAAAATTGGACCAAAGTCCCTGTACTATAGTACAGGGAAAACTATCCGTAATAATAATAATTTACCATTCTTTCCTCCTTTTCTTTCTCTCTCTCTTTCCTCCAGGTCAAGAGGTGTTGAAGTTCTTTTAAGACAGCGAGAGACGATAACAAAAGATGACATATCTTCAAGTGATGTACTAATATCTGCAGGAGGTGTAATAATTTATTAAAAGTAAAGATTACTAATTCTTATCTTTTTTGTAGGCGATGGTAACTTCCTAGCAGCTGCTTCACGTGTTCTGAGACCAGACAAACTCGTAATCGGAATCAACACTGACCCTGAAAAGTTAATAATAATAGTTTATACAAGAATTATATTAGTAGTATTTATTATTTTAATTATTATATAAATATGTATTTCATTCTGTAGATCAGAAGGTCATTTATGCATTACACCAACAGCTGAGCATTCAATCAGTTCAATCATTGACTATATAATGGAGAACAGATTAAAGTATAATAATAATATTTTATAAACCTAACCTTCATCATATTCAATATATACATGTACCTCTATAGTCTTATCCATCGTCAGAGGATTCATGTATCCATCAATGGGGAGGGGCTACCAGTATTAGCACTGAATGAAGCGTTCATTGGAGACACTGATCCTTCACAGTATGACACTGTTCAGTGATGTAGTGTAGATATTAATGAGATCGTTATTTAATTGATAGAGTTAGTTATTTTGAGTTGATATCTGATGGAGGGGAGTGGCTAAAGACTCGTAATTCCGGCATGTTAGTGTATACTGGAACTGGATCTACTTCATGGTATATTTAATAATAATAATAATGACAATAATAATAATAATAATGATGATGATGATGATGATGATGGCGATGTTAATGATTATTTGATAGGGCATACAATATCAATAAACTCTCTACAGCTGCTATTAGCAGATTGCTTGAGATTGGTAATGAACTAAACATTGTAATATCATTATTCATTCTCTCTCTCTCTCTCTTTCCCTTAGCAAAATCAAGTGGAGCTGTTAGCTTTAATGAAGATCTTGACACCACAGTGGAAAAAAGTACATTAATAATAATAATAATAATTATTATTATTATTATTTTAGTTACGGCACTATATAACTCCAGTAATGTATTAAGTGGAAGTGAAGATGGTTTCATGTCATACATAATCAGAGAACAGATTGAAAGAGGTAAAGAAGAGAATCATTTTGGTGGGCCAATTTTGGCTCAATTGTGGATAATGTTGCATATCAAAAACACGAAATATTGAACGTGGGTATACTTTAAAATATTTATTTATTCCTGTCCCTGCAGGTATTACCAATCCAACAATTAGCCAGTCAGGGATTTGCTCAAAGTAAATACTATTATCTTTTACTAACCTCCTCCTCCTCCTCTTTCTCTCCTCAAAGGTTAAAGGTCAGGTCTCGTAGTTGGAATAACAAGATCATCGTTGATGGTCAGAGACTTTATGAGTTTCCAAACGGTTCAGAAGCAACTTTCACTTTAGGAGACCAGTACAAATTATTAACAGCATCATTACCGATATAATAATTAATAATAAATATAATTTAAATTACAGTATATTTTTTATTTGTACATTTTACAATTTTGATTTTCAAAGCAACGGAAATTAAATTTAAGTTGCATAGTTAAAAAAATCTCCACAGAATGGATCACGGACATTTGACAAAAATGATTTCATCAGCAGAAAAGATCATTTGTTGATTAAAAATTCCAACAACAACGACACAAACAATGTTACTACTAATAAATAATAATAATAACAATTATTATTATTATTATTCAGTTCTACATGAGGAATGAAAATGGATCATAACTACTACTAGTTCTAAGACATAAGACAGGATTGATATATTATTGACAGAATGAGATTAAAATATTCTAAACTAACAACTACTACTGACTACATCATATTCTACAACGTCTCCTTTTCTGACATGTCAAAAAACGTGTCCAGTAACGTCGCCATGGACCAGGCTTGTATCGGACAGCTATCGGGACAGTCGGCTCCATTCTGATTGGTCAGTTCGGGCAACCCTGACCACGGTGATTCTTGCAGTATCTGGGCGTGGTTACTGAGAGTTTGGTGTATGCTACTGATGACGTCTTCTTCGCCATTTTCCGTTTTGTCACAGAAAATTAATTTCGCTCGAAGAAAGTAACCAATCACCCATAGCCACTCCTATAAAGGGATATACTGATAGTATACTGGAATAAACAAAAATTTACTGAATAAAACACTAGAGATATACTGAATGATATACTGAGATATACAAAGACTTACAGGTCCTTGGTGGTAGTTGAAACCTTTAGCCGTTTTGTATTTATTTGAATCAATTGAATTTAAATAATAACCATTGTACTGCCAATCACTATAAAATAAATAAATAAATAAATCATGTACATGTATTTTTGCAATTAAATTAAAAACCCCCTGCCCCCTCACCCGGGGTCCAGAGTTTTCATTCCAAGGGGTCCTAGCAACAGTTCCTCAATTTTCCCCAAAGCCGTGCGGGCATTAGAAGGAGTGAAGAGATCAGGAGCGACTACCATGGCAACAGGGACGTTGGGCCTCAGCTGGTAGTCTGTGTATTTGTGGGTGGAGCCGTAAGTATCCTTATAAATCCCGTGACGATGAATATAATGAGAGTCAGTTCCTTCTTTAGCTGCAGCTGTGGTCTCGTCCAGTGGTATCCAGAACTTTGACTCAAAATTGTCTTTAACTTGTGTAGCCCATTTCTTGAATGTGATGAACGGGGAACCTGAGAATAATGTAAATAAATAAATAAATAAATAAATAAATGAATAAATAATAAATAATAAATAAATAAACTAACCTGGTGTTTTAGAGTGAGTGGTGTAGACTCCACTGAAAGGGTATATCCCCTGATCATTGAGACCAGTCAACCACTTCAGAGCTGAATACAACAAACCAACCAGCTCAACTGCTGAACCATCACTGAAGAAAAGAATAAATATAAGTACATCTATATATATCAGGAAATGTAATAAAAATGGAGAATTCTCTACTTTTTATTTTTGGTGAAATTTGGCCTGAGACCATGTACTATAGTAC